GCTCTGTGACTCATGGCCCTGAGTCAGATCCCAGGGGAGAGGGTCCAGGGATTCCTGGAAAGGGGGGAGCCCCAGGCCTGACTGTTGGAGTTAGTGCAGGCAGGCCCCCCACTCGCTGAGTGCGGACGCGCTGTTGTACTCACAGTCTCGGGTACAGCGGGGGCTCTGTCCCCCGCAAGGGCTCGGGATTTGGGCAGATGCCCACGAGGATAGCAGTTCACGGAGGCTGGGGAGGATGTGCGCCGGGCGGGGGCAGCCTCCAGCTACAGAGCCTGGAGGTCAGGCCGACTGAGGCTGCGTCGGTGTCACCGGCAGCCCTCCTGGGCACTGGCTGGCCGGTGAGTGGCTCTGCTCTGGCGGTGCGAGCTTTGCCCGGTGGGCCCTCGGTGACTCAGAGGGAATTTGCGACACCCCTTATCTCCCTGAGGACTTGGGATTTTATCTCAGCCTCCGGTCTGGCCGGGGAATGGGAAGGCCTTATCCTGCCGGCAGAGGGTTTCCACCCCAGTGACACGGTGACACCCCTGCTTCCTCTAAGAAGTTAATGAGTAAACACTCAGGCTGCCCTGAATGACGGAGACAGGAGTGACTCGTGGGTCAGCCAGGCGGCCTGCTCCACTTGGTGCTCACGATGGCTCACCGAGGCTCTCCCCGCCACGGGACCCAGCAGAAGGACCCTGGGTGTCCCGGGCACAGGGAAGTGCCCAGACAGGGCCCAGCTGGCTGAGAGTAAGCTCAGCTTAGACCTGAGAGGCAAGGGAGAAGTCAGCTGTTGAAGGTGAGCTGCGATGGACAGTGTTCCAGGCAGAGAGAAAGCCTGTGCAAAGGCCCTGGGGCAGGAGGAGCTAGGGGCATGCTTGGAGGCCTGTGTGGTTGGAAATGGAGGGATCAGGTGCTCAGGGAACACGGAAGGCTGGAAAGGGTCAGGCTAGATGAGGCTTCTCGGCCTTTTTTCTGGCACCTGGAAGGCAGAGGGAGGCTGAATCTGGAGCGGCCCCACAGGACTTCCGTTTTCAGACATTGTTCTAGCTACGGTATCATAGGATTCAGCAGGGCAGGGTGACTTCTGCACCCCAAACCCCAGGCTGACATCTAGTGACTCTGGTGACTTCTGCAGCCAGGTGTCACGTGAAGCTGGGTCCCAGCTGACCACAGCCTGTCCTCCAGGTTGGATGGGAGAGGGGTGTGCCACCCAGGAGGCCCTGAGCCCCCCAGGGCCAGGGGAGCCTCAGAGCAGGGCGAGGGCAGCCCTGGTTGGCTTCATGAGTACTGTCACCTTGTGGTCGGACCGGGTCGGTAGAGGGGACAAGAGCGCAGGGTGGGCAGATGGCCCAGCCCACTGCCCTCCTGACAACGTCACGTTGCCAAACGGTGGGCCCTCGAGCCGAGGAGGCAAGGCCGGCCATCTGCGGCCCGGACCGATCGACCAGCACCGGTGACCAGCCACGACGAGCCCCCTGGGAACCCGTGCAGCCGTTGGGGTTGGGGACAAGGTGTCGAGGAGGCTGGCCCCCAGGGAGTCCGGCCCTCATTTGTATCTGAGGAGGGGAGGTCACCCAGTAAGGTCGCTGCAGAGAAGGGCAAAAGAACAAAGAGACTCGGGTGCCCGGAGCCTTGCCCAGAGCCCCTCCGTGGCTTCCATCCCTCCGGCCTCCTGTCCGTCCACCCAACCGAAAACAAAAGGGGTGGGTGGACAAAGACACGCTGAACGCTGCCTGCCTGCCGCTGTCGTCGACACTCAATTCGTACTCGGCTCCAATGAGCCAACAACAACGGGGCGCAGCCATCCCGCAGGATCCTGCACAAAGGACGCGGGAGGCCCTGGGCGGCAGGGGAGCTGACTCTGCCCTGTGCTCAGGGGCGCAGTGACCCAAAGGTCCCTGGGGAGAGGCGCCGAGCTGTGTCCTGGAGGACAGAGCAGCGCCCGGTGGGGGCACCGAGCCAGAGGAGACGGCCCTCCGTGCAGGGGCGGGGGGCGGGGGGGCTGAGCTGGCCCGCCATTCCCTTGCCTTCTGCTCGCCCCTCTGGCATTTGTCCTGGGGGAGTTGGAGGGGGTGTGAGGGTGGAAGGACACCCCCCCATGTCCCCTGGGAAGCTGCGGCCCCCCACCCCCCCCAGGTCCCCCAGGGTCCCCATGCTCCCTTTGGTTTACCAGCCTTCACACAAGGGGTGGGTGAGATGCCACAAGAAGGGGCCTGGCTCCTTGCCACCACCCGGCCCTCGCTTGTCACCAGCCTCCCGAAATAGCCATCTAAGTGGCCGCCTCTGCTCCCGCGAATTTCCGGGGCATCTGGTGAAGAAAGCAGGTTCTGTCCCTGCCCGCCAGGCCCCAAGCAGTGACGCGCGAGTCCTGAAGAAAGGGCCCTTCTCTCTGGCCGGGTGTCCCTGCCCGCGTCACAGATCAGTCCCTTCCAGCCCAAGGAGGGGGCTCCGGCCTGGGCTGGCCTTGGTCCTCTACAGGGGACTGAGCGCAGGCCTCTGAGCCTCTGACCTGTGGGTCCGTGGAAATGCCCGTTTGTTTGGAAGCCTGGTGGCCAGGAAGCCCGAATATCCACCATCCTGGGCAGTGGGGGTTGGCAGGGGCGGCCAGAGATGGGCCAGTGGGGAAGGGGAGGGGAGGGCCAGCGACTGTCAGCTCTACAGCGACCACCCGTGTGAGCCTGGGCAGGACCTGGCCAGAGATATGGGGGCGCTGACCCCACTGGCCCCCCTGACCACATGTGGAACAAGGCCTCTCTGTGTCTCCTATAGGAGCTCTGTGTACGCATGCACACGTGTGCGCCCCTCGTGTGCGTGTGTGTGTGCACATACATGAGCTGTGCGGGGGAGGGGCAGGGGAAGTCTGTTCTTGGCACCCCGTGGAGGGCCAAGGGCACCTTGCGTCTATGCCCGGAGGCCCCAAACAGGACAGATCTGGGAGCTCTGGTGAGGTTGGGGTCAGGACGTGGTGCCTGCAAACAGCTCACATGTGTGTCCCATGGTCTGATGTTCCCTGGGTGTGCAGGGTGCCCCCCAGGCCCACTTGTCCTCAAGGCCAGGTACTGGCCATTGGACGGAGCAGGCCCCTCTCAGAGGATGCAGTGCCCACGGGGGCGGAGTGCCAGGGTCTCTCGGAGAAAGGCTTTTGCAGGATGTATAGGAGTTTCCTCTGTGGCTGAGGAGAAGGGCTTTGCAGGCCCGTGCCAGCCTGGAAGGTCAGAGAGGGGCCTGGCTCAGTACGAAGTTTCCATTCCTTCCTGTGTCCCCCCTCCATCCCTAGGAGGGTGCCAGGTTGGCCTCCGGAAGAAATGGCAATGGTCAGAAGGGCCCGTGTTGTCAGGTGACACGGCCTGCCTGGCCGCCTGGCCCTTCCAGGGGGTCAGGGGCTGAGTTTCTATGCAGTGATTCACGGTGGGGAGGGATGTTTTCAGATGCCAAAGCTGAGGGGCCCGCCTGAGTCTGGGTCCCTGGCGGCGTCCTGAGCGTGGCGTCCAAAGCCCCCTCCCAAGCCCAGCGTGCCCACCCTGCAGGAAGAGGGGACGCCGTGGCTGGGGGCTCCTGAGGCCTACTGAGCAGGAAGGGACAGAGGCCTCACAAAGCTGAGTGGGGATCCCGTGGTGGAGCCAGGAGGCAAATCCAAGCCCCCTGCACCCCTGCCCCTCGGCCTCCTAGTGCTCCGGCCCCAGGCCGCCTGGCACGTAGTTCCCCATCAGCCCAAAGGGCCAGACACGTGGCACCCAAAGGCACCGTCGAGCCGTCTCCCCCCCCAGGAGGTCCCTCCAGTCCCACCAGAGGGATGAGGACTGATCTGGGGACAGGGCCCTGCTTCTGGGAGCCTCAGTTTGCACCTCTGTCAAATGGGCAGGACCCATGGCCGGCCCACTTCTGCCAGGGCTACGCAGGGGCCTCCTCCATGTGAGAAGACCCGGCCTGGAGCTGAGTCCTGAGTCCCCAGATGTGGGATGCCCCTGCCCTGGCTGGGAGCAGTGGGTGCGTGCACACACACGCACACACCCGCACGCACGCACGCAACACATACACCAGGCCCGTCCTCTGGGGGCCTTCCCACCCCTCGCCAGTCTGGAAGCCGACCATCTCCTGGAAGACTCCGCCCCGGCCCTCCAGGGCTCAGCTCGTGGCTCCCACCACTGCCCCTCCTCAGAGACCCGGGACCCACGTGCCGTGGATGCCAGAGGCTGCGGCTGCAGCGTGAGCATCGGGCATGTTGACAGCTTCATCCGCTCCTTCATCCCATCACCTAATGTCCCCCAGGTCATAGGCTGTGGGGACGTGGCTGGTGGGGTTTGAGCTGTTCTCAGCAGTCGAGACCTAAGCGGGGCTAAAGGGGCCCATGGGGGAGATCCCACACCTAGGGACCCAAGTCCTGTGTGACCATTACTCTCACCCCCAGGCTTCGATGTCCAGCCTCCGTGGCTCTTGTAGCCAACCTCGTGGCAGCCGTCCTCAGCTTCACCTGCATCCCCATCAGCACTAAAGGGGTTAGCACCCATGCCCAGGCTGCCCCTCCAGGTAAGCCCTGCCAGGTACACCCCTCCAGGTGAGCCCCACCAGGTATGCCCAACCAGGTACCCCCCTCCAGACATTCCCCTCCAGGGACACCCCTCCAGGTGAGCCTCACCAGATATGCCCCACAAGGTACCCCCCTCCAGACATTCCCCTCCAGGGACACCCCTCCAGGTGAGCCCCACCAGGTACACCATGCCTGGATGCTGGGCCAGTATAAGGCATGAGCCCTCCGCCACACCAGCCAGTACCCCGGACCTCCCTTCAGGGAGAGTCAGCCAAGACCAGGACATACCAAAGAGTCCACCGGGGCTTCCTACCTGCTGAGGCGGGTGTGCCCCAAACAACAGGCATGCGGGGCGGGGGGTAGAATTTAGGGGCCACTCGCGCCCTCTTTCCCTCCACGAGCTGCTCTGGAGTGCAGGGCATCTCCGGGCTGCCAACACCATCAGAGCTGAGCAGGGTGCAGTCTCGGGGGGAGGAAAGCATGGGGGACTCAGAGAGGCTGAGGCTGGAGGCAGGGGAGATGTTAGGGGGAGGCCCGGGGAGGACGGGAGGGACCACGGGGTGGGGTGTAGCCAGGATCCTGAGTCCCAAAGTGGCAGGCACCCTGGTGCACAGGAGTGCGGTTCTGAGGGAGCGCCAGGTGGGGGGCAGAGCGGTGCCAATGAGGGCGTGTGGGGCCTCCCGGGCCCACAAGGGAAGGTCAGGGCTCCACAGAGGGGCCAGCAGAGGACCCCATGCCTCTGTGCCCAGTGACTGAGAGGTCAGGAGGGAGGACGTGCCTGTGAGGGACAGAGGAAGGGCCAAATACAGGCGGACCCCAGGAGAGCCGGACAGAGGGGGAGGGGGCCAGGCCGGGGAGCTGGGGAGCGGGTCCCCCGGTGGTCTGAGCAGCCTCTCCGGGTCCCCCAGGCAGAGCCCAGGCCAGCGTGTTCGACCTGAAGGCCATCAGCCGCCTGCTGCTGAGGCCTGGCATCCTTCCCGTGTTCCTCGTCAAGGTGGTGTCCGGCTTCCCCTCTGGTGAGTCTCAGGGCCTGGGGCGGACCCCTTCCTCCGCCCCGTGTCCCGTGCTCCACGCCCTCCCCGTGCCATCGCCTGTCACGTGGGCCCCGGAGAAGGAGATGGCCCCTGGTTCACGCCGAGCGGCTGCACAGGTGAGGAGGGGGAGGAACAGCGAAGCAGGGCCCCCACCTCCCACACCGTCCTCAGCGCCCCGCCCTGGGGTTTCCAAGCCCCACTCTGGGGTCCTCTAACTGGGGGGCGGCACAGAGACCAAATTAAGGAGGTGTTGTGCTGGCGCGAAAGGGTTCATCTCTCGCCCCCAGAAAGTTCTCATCCTTGCAAAAGCGAAGGTTCTGGGGTCAGGTCCATGGGAGTGAAGGCAGACGCAGGGGGGCTGCCTGGCCAGGCCCCCACCAGCTGTCCCAGATCCAGATCAGCTCTTTGGGGTCACGGGGATGGGACCCGAGTGGCTGACTTCAGTAAAAGGGGCCTCTGGGGACGACCAGTGGGTCCGGGGTCACATCCTCCCACATTGTCAGCCCTGGGGCCCCCCACCTCCCTAGGAAAGCCGTCGGTCACTGTGGCTGGACCAGGGCTCCCAGCCCGGCTGACAGGGGAGGTGGGCCCTACGGCCAGGGGCCTGGGGTGACCAGGCAGCCCCTCCTCCCCTCTCCCAGGACTCTTCATGGTCATGTTCTCCATCATTTCCATGGACTTCTTCCAGCTGGACGCTGCCCAGGCTGCCTACCTCATGTCCTTCTTCGGGGTTCTCCAGATGGTGAGTGGCTGCCCAGTGCTCAAGGCATGTCTTGGGTGGGTAGGGGTCTTTGGATGCAATGGACCTCGCAGCCTGCCTGCCTCAGTTTCTCCACAGCGCTGACAGTTAGCTTCCAGCTGCCCTCCCGCCTCACGGGGTACACGCTCCCCCTCACAGGCAGGCCTGTCCGCCTCTCCCTGCTCGAGGCTCCCACCGATGGGCCTGCGTCCTGTGTGCACACCCATCGGCCTGGGGGCTTGTCTGAGAGGGGAGGAAGTAGGCTAGCACCCTGTGGAGGCTGGTGAGCCCTTGGCCTCCCGTCTGGAAGCGTGTCGAGGGTCCGTGGTCCACCCAGTGTGCATCTGGGCGCCCCACGGCAGACGGGACAGGGCAGGAGGAGCGCCCAGTGGTGAGGCACGTGGCAAGGCCGCCTGCCCACGAGCAGGCAAGTTCCCCAAGCTCTCCGAGTCTCTGTCTCCTTGTCCATCCAGTGGGGCGGAGTTGTGGGGGTGATGATGTGGCCAAGCACTCAAACAGGCCAGCCACCGTGGGAAGCCCCACCCGAGTGACAGTCACTCTCTGCCCTTGTGAGATGCCTCGAGCCTGGGAACTGCGCGTCAGGAGGTGCCCGAGACGCGTGTCCAGGTGGGACAGGTGTCCAGTGCACCAGCTCCCAGGCCCCGGCTCCTCCTGGACATCTGGCACCAGGCCCTGGGGCGGTGGGGACAGGTGGCGACGTGTTGCCGCCACCCTGGACGGCTGCCCAACAGCCGGAGTGCGGGAGGGGCTATTCTGGGACCGTCTGGGGCAGGGGGGAAGGTAGCCCTGGACCTCTCCGGAAGCGTGTGACATTCCCGGCACCTCCAGGCCATCTGCTCCCCCACGCCCCTGGGCCCAGGACTGATTGGGACCCTGGGGCTAAAATAGCAGCTCCCGGGGCTGCTCCGCACGGGCAGGCAGGGAGGGCCGGCCCGACGGGGAAGCAAGCGACAGACACAAAATAATAGCAGGGACAGCACCAGAGTTGGGGGCCCCTGGAACCCCGTTCTAAATGGCTGCCCCTGGGGAAGCAGACCCCTGAGACCCTCGGGGACAGATGAGGAGCCTGGTGGTGACCCCGCCTGAGACGGGGGGGGCTCTAGCACCTGCAAGGATGGTGGCCGACCCCTGGGGGGCAGCTGGGGCTCTGGATGCGTCTGGAAGCTCTGCGGGCAGAGGTGGGGTTTTGTGTCTCCAGAGAGAGGCCCGAAGCCCCCTGCGTCAGGTGCCTCCCTGCCCCCAGAGCCCTGGGGCAGTAGGGCTGCTCACAGAGGGTCTGAGCGGCGGCCCCCCTGTAGGCTGAGCCATGCCTTCGCCTGGCCCCCCACAGCTGGGTTCCCACCTGCTGCCTCCCTCCACAGACCATTTCCTGCCCCACCCCGAAGTGTGGCGGCTGCAGCCCGACCCCAGGGAGACCACGGCAGCCCCCCTCCCCGCTCCCTGGGTGTTGGGGCGGGGCACTGGGGTTGGGGGCCGGTGGGGAGTGGCAGCCCAGATGGTCCTAACATGAGGGGAGGGCGTCGCTGCCCCGGGGGACGTGCAGCCCTCTGTCCCTCGCAGACCCTCCCGCTAGAGCCCCCGCTGCGCCTGTCTACACCCCAGGCGCCACGCCACCACAGTGATGGGCGGCTCCCATCATACGAGGTCGGGGTGGGGGGGGGGGATGGAGATAAGCCCCCGACCACCTACACATCTGATGTGTCAGGGTGACTAGCACCCCGCAGGAGAATAGGGTCCTCAGAAGGGCAGAGGTGCGAGTTTAGATGGGGCAGTCAGCCCGGGGCTGGGAGGACTGCAGGTGCAAAGGGCCTGGGGGTGGGGAGCTCACCGGCTGCTGAGCAGGCTGAGGCAGAAAGCTAGGCTCTGAGGAATTGTGCCGCGGGGAGGGGTGGTCTGCAGGGCAGGAAGGACCTGGATTTACTCAGACTGGGGTGGGGGCTGCGCAGGGGGTCCGTGCAGAGGCTGGACATGGTGTACGAGGCCCCCCAGCTCTGGGCGGTGTTAGAGAGAGGTGCACAGAACACGGGGGCTTCAGGTGGCCCGTGTTACCCCTGGGGCAGGTGTGAGCCGACAGACCTGTTTGTTAACTTCTGGTTCCCTGTAGTAACCTGCGAGCCACGGGAGTTTAGGATTTTTTAAGTGAATAGGGAAACTGAGGCACAACAGCACCACGCCAGGGTTTTGGTCCGGGTGTCTGTATGAACGCGGAGGCCAGATTCACTCTCCCGTGCTGTTGAGAGGCCCCCAGCTGTGCCGCACTGAGGGGCTTGCCCAGTAGACCTTCCTTCACAAAAACAAGCAAACAAAGAAATGTAAGAAAAAGCAAGTCTGAGAGTAGGACTTTTTAAAGGACATCTATGGTTCTGGTTTGAAGCAGTTTTGTTAGGTTGGTTTTGGAGGGGCCCGCCGGCGCGCTGAGGGGCTGCGCGAGCAGAGGGGTGCCTGTGGAGGGGCCCAGGCCAGCTCACGCCCCCAGGGCCCTTGCTGCTGACACGCAGACTTCGGGACCCACCCTTCTACTCTGACCTGGTGGCTGCTAGGGTTGGGAGGGGACCCTGAGGGAGGTCCCCAGATGCGGGGGCGCCCCCGGTCCAGACCCCTCCCACCACCGCCCCCTCCTCCTGTCTCCCCAGGTCATTCAGGGCCTGGTCATCGGCTGGCTGAGCAGCCACTTCTCGGAGAGGGCCCTGCTCCGGACCAGCGTGCTGGGCTTCATCATGGTGGGACTGCCCATGGTGAGCATTTCCCTCCGGGCTGTCCCCCGCTCCGGCCAGGGGCCCGTGCCCATCCCCCGACCCTCTGCACATGCCCAGCATGCATTTGAGCCCCTCACCCCCACCCAGGGCCACCCTCCATGGGACTCTGGGGACAGGCCCTTCCACCCTGGTCCCATGCGGCCCCCAGTCGCCATGCCTCCCTGCCCTGCCAGGCCCTGATGTCCAGTGTCTTCCACTTCTGCCTCCTGATGCCGGGCCTGGTCTTCAGCCTGTGTGCCCTCAACGTGGTCACCGACAGCATGCTGACCAAGGCTGTCTCGGCCTCAGACACGGGTGAGAGCCGCATCCCCAGGAGCCGGGGAGGGGCGAGCCCTGGGGGGCCCCAGGCCTCCTCTCTGGAAAGCTTTCTGGGCAGTTTCAGATGGAGCAGCCCCCCGATTTCAGGCTGGGTCTGCCCCGACCCAGTGAGTGTTGAGTGGGGTGGGCGGTCTGGGTCTGAGTGAGTGGGGCAGGGGTTGGGGGCTGCGAGATGGCTCGGGTCAGAATTCGCCACCTGGCTGGGTCGGGCCTTCCCGGAGGTGGTGTCTGGCTTGGCTCTGAAGCATGGGCAGGATTTCACTAAAAAGGAGGATGGAAAGACGGCATTCCAGGCATCCCAGCTGGGCAGAGGTGTGGAGGGATGTGTGGGACTGAAAGTCTCCTGCAGAGGCCAGTTAGGAAGACAGCCCAGCGGGGCCGAGCGTGGTAAGCACAGGAAGGGGCTTGCCTGCGAGGCTGGGAGCGGGCAGGAGCCGGTCTTCTGTTCCCTCCCCGGCACCTAGTGCAGGGTGTGTGCAGGTGCTTCCTGAGTGAGTGAATGAAGGCACGAAGCCCCCAGCCCTCCCCCCATCTGGTGGGACACAGGTGTCCCCAGTCAGGGGCCCCCAGCCCTCACTCTGCACCTAGCTCTCTTTCTTGAGGCCTGAGTCTCCCATCTGGACTCACGTCCCAGGGCCTGACAGTGCCCAGGCTGCTGCCCATTCCCCTGGCTCCTGGCAGGCATGGTCCCGGCATGGGACAGGCCGAGTTCAAGGGCTCCTGTGGCTGCCTGAGGGTGAAGAACCCTGCAGGCTAGAAAGCTCAGGGAGCCTGGCCGACCCTCACTCCATCCACCCCTCTGTCTGGAAGGGACAGAGTGAGGTCTAGAGGCCTGGATGGGAACCAGGTGGCTGATGGGTGGCGGGCCGGGCCTGGAAGGCGTCCTGGAGTGGCGGGCTGGAACCCAGGAGAGGCCAGGAGGAGGCAGGGGAACGAAGCAGCGCGGAGAGATGGGGGCAGGGCCCTGCAGGGAGGAGGGCGGAGCACACCCAAGCCACTGGGGCCATACGGAGCCTGAGCCCCAGGCACCACCCCTCAGCTCAGAAGGAGCCAAGAGCTGGTTCCCAGCACCAGCCTGGGAACCCAAGACCACAGAGGGGGCGGTAATTGCTCCCCGGTGTCTGCAGGGCGTGTGGGCGATGGGAGAAGCCGCTCTTAAATTTCCCCCACGCCAGGTCCTGAGCCCAGGCAGGGCCTCCCCAGGCCATCCCAGCTGGCCCAGCGGGGAGATGGGAGGGAACCGGGGCTCTGAGCCCCAGGAGCCCGGGACCCTCTGGGCACATGTGTTGTTGACATTACCCACACGCACGCGCGCCCACACAGGGCACAGCTGCTGGGAGGGGCGTGGTGACAGGGGCGTCAGGTAGCCAGGGGCGCAGGCAGCGAGGTGAGCCTGGGAAGTGGGTGCAGAGAGGCAGGTGGGTGGCCCCTCCCCAGCCCTGTGGGGGATACTCTCCCATCCATATGAGGGCAGTGGGGGCTGTGGGGGTGATCCTGGGCGTGTCGGCCTGCCTGGCACCCCAGCCCCACGCCCACCCTCCCCGGTTCCCAGCCCTGCTGGGATGCCATCTCCCTGGTAGGCTTAGGAGGGCAGGGCCTGGCCCGTGACCTGTGGCTCCAGTCCCGGGCCCCTCCTGTGCTGCTCGGGAACTTTCTGGGGCAGGGCGCAGGCTCAGCCCCACATCTGAGAAGTGCCAGTGCGGCCCCTGCCCGTCTGGGTGACCCAAAAGGAGCAGACCCACACGTCTGGGTGGAGGGAGCCAGGGGAGCAGAAGCAGGACGGGGTGGGGTAGGGGGCAGGGGAGGCCTTGGCTGTGTCCGGGGAGTGGGTGGCCAGGGCAGTGGTGCCGGGGGACCTGGCCGAGCCTGACTTGCCCCCCCCGCCCCCGCCCCTCAGGCACCATGCTGGGCCTCTGCGCCTCTGTGCAGCCCTTGACTCGCACCCTGGGGCCCATGGTGGGTGGCCTCCTGTACCGCAGCTTCGGGGTCCCTGTCTTCGGCCACGTGCAGTTTGCCACCAACGTCCTTGTCCTCCTGGCGCTCTGGAGACAGCCTCTGGCCCAGAAGCCGGACAAAGTCTGGTGACCACGGTCCCAGGGCACAGACCAACAATAAATTCCTCCAGCCTGATTTCTGCAAAGTCCCGTGGGTTGAACAGGGGACCTGGGGGTGAGCGACGGAGGGATGGAGAGGCTGGAGAGCTTCCTGGAGGAGGGGGCCAGCCGCGGGGCCCCAGGGCTCCAGAGAGAGCAGTCACCCGAGCTGTCCTGGTGCTGTGGGCCCTGCCCCCTGGAGTGCACTGCAGGGGGCCAGTCAGAAGGCCCCCCCCCCGCCACCACCCACACCCAGACAGCGCCGCTCAAACCCCCAGAGACGGGAGCTTTCTGCCCACCCCCAGTCCGCCACTGCTTGGCCTCAGGGCTAAGCACACTGCCCATTCGCCCTTGTCAGTCACCCCACGTGAACGGAAACTGCTTGTTTTCGAAGATGAGGAGTTCAAGGCTTGGAAAGAGGTCTAGGAAACCGGCCCCCGCTCCCTGGTGGGAAGCCCAGTGGGTGGAGCCAGGCGCCAAGTTATGAGAACTGGGGAGCACCGTCCCTCCTCCTCCCTCACCTCCCCACCCTGCTCTAGGGAGAGGGGCGCCAGGCAGGGGAAGCCAGCATGACCAGGACAGAGAGAACAATCCCAGCAGCGGGGGCAGGTGACCCTGAAACCATGAAGGTCACCCCCCCACCCACTCCCCAGCACACAGGCTGCCTGGAAAACAGGCTATTACAACTCGGGACCCCCAACCCCAGAATTCCATGGTCCCGACCAGAGGGGCCGCAGAGAGTAGAGGTCTGTCAACCCTCCCAGCCCAAGAACTCAGACCAGACCAGCTTCTGTGTGAACCCCACTGGGAATGGGGCTCTCACTCTTTGATTGACCCTTTATCCCTCTGAAGGTCTGGGCAGGATGGGGGTGCATCTGGGGCCAGTGCAGGCCCTGGGGCCACACTCTCTCCACTTCTCTGGAGGAACCCCCTCCCCCAACCACAAGTAGTGTTCAGGAGAAAATTCCTTGCAAGGAATGGTTTCTTTCCTTTTTTTTTTTTTTTTTAAGATTTTGTTTATTTGACACAGAGAGAGAGAGAGAAAAAGAGCACAGCAGGGGGAGCGGCAGCAGAGGGAGAGGGAGAAGCAGGCTTCCCGCAGAGCAGGGGGCCCGTCGCGGGGCTTGATCCCAAGACCCTGGGATCATGACTGGAGCTGAAGGCAGACACTGAAGGGACTGAGCCGCCCAGGCGCACCGTGAGGAATGGTTTTCCTCTAGCTTCCCAGCAAAGGGGCAGCCCCTCCCCAGTCAGCCCTGGGACCCAGCGAGGAGGCCCACAGGGCTCCCCTGGGTCCAGTGTGAGTGACAGACATCAGGGTCCAATTTTGGTCCTTCACTCCCCATGCCACTGCCTCCCACACGTGGCATCCTTTCTGCCAGAAAGTTCCCCGAAATGAAGTTCCCCTCAACAGGCCGAGAACGATGTCCTGTTCTTCTGTCCTCTGGCTTGCTCATCACCAGTGGACCTTCCGGCTGGTGGAACACACCTCCCGAGTCCTCCCCACGGGGCAGCCCCGGACACAGTGTCTCAGCCCAGCCCAGAGGTGGCCAGGCAGGGAGAGTGGAAGCTGCCGGCCATCGGAAACGGCTGGGCCTCCCCTCACCCGCCCAGAAGCACCGCCGCCCTCCTGGTCCCACACTGCGGGTGCCGGATCGCCTGAAGCTGCCAGGCCCTGCCATGGGGTGGGGTGGGGTCAAGGGGAGCATGGCGGGGCAGGCACCCAGAGGGCTGCCAGACAGGTGGCATGTGGGTGGTGGGGGCCGCTGGGGTCGCCCCGGGCAGGAGCAGCTCGTCAGAGGAGGTGCACTGACCTCAATGAGGCAGTTTGTGAGTGACCTCCCTGAGCAAGCACTGGCCTCGTCCTTCCGTCCTTCCGAGGCACACCCAGGAGCAGAAGTCAGCCGGGGCCAAACCTCGGGGCACTTCCCAGCCTCGGGAGAGGCTGCTTGGCAAGGAGGGTGTGAACAGAGCCCAGCAGATGACACTGTGCTCATTCAGAGTGCTTTCCCCTTGCCCTTCAGACGCCAGGGCGGCGGCTCTCCCCACCCCCACCCCTACACCCACTGAAAGGGCCGCCAACCCTCCCCGCAGGAAGCTCACCGCAGCACGCCTGGGCTGGTAGAAAAGGGAACAGATCAAGTAGTTTATTTGGAATGAACACATCGATGCAAAAACGAAATATTAAGACAGACGGTTCCATGACAACCATCAAAATAAATACATAGATAGTCTGATAATTTAAGGCGCCCGCTCAGCGGGCCGAGGCTCTGTGGCTCCGCATGGGAAGATCCTTCTGTGTGGGTCAGGGACACGGCTCCCGGCCTTTGTCCTCACTGTGGTCAGCGGGTGGGCGGCCCGCCCAGGTTTCCCCCGCAGTCCCCGGGCACCCCCGGGGTCCCTGCCGGCGCGGCCCCGCGTCGGGCCCGACTCGTCCAATGCGCGGCTCCTGTGGGGGAGGAGGAGGCGGTTAGGGAGCGGGGCCTCAGCCCGGGACCGAGCGGGTCCGGGTCCGGCCCGCGGTGGGTCCCCCAGGGCCCCGACGCGGCCGGAGCCAGCCCGACGGCTCCGGCCGCGCGCCCAGACACGCCGCGGTCGCGCCGCACCCGGTCCCCTTCTCGACGGTGTCCCCGCGACGGGGCAGGACCTCCCCCACCCCCGACGGCCGGCACTCACCGCGGCGGCGCTCAGGGCGCGCGGGCCGGCCAGGGCTCCGGGGGCGCGGCGGGCGCGGCGCGCTCCTGGCGGCTGCGGAAGTCCTGCAGGGCGCGGCGGTTCTGGAAGTCGATGAGCGCCAGCGTGATGGCCGCGTTCCAGCAGCTCTCGCCCGCGCAGCGGAAGTCGATCTCCTTGCGGTCCGTGGTGACGATGGTGAAGTAGACGTACTTGCCGGTGCGCTCCACGCAGTCCACCTTGAGGATGGAGTGGAAGCGCAGCTCCTTGGGGCGCGCGCCGGGGCCGGCGGGGAACAGGCGCAGGCGGTCAGGGGTGAGCACGCCGCGCTTCTTCTTCCACAGCTGGAACAGGCTGTCGCTGCGCTTCTCCAGCTCGCCCTCGCGCAACACCTCGCCGGGCGTCTTCATGTCGCAGGTTGCGCGCTCGGGCGGCGGCGGCGCGGGCGATGCGCCCAGGCGGACCCGGCGCCGCCTTTATGCGGCCCCGCCTGCGCTCGGTCCCGCCCCCGCCGCGCCCCCGAGACCACGCCCTTCTTCCCGCCCCCTTCCCCGAGGCCACGCCCCCGCCCGCCCGCGGCCGCCGGAGGTCTCCCGCTCCGCTTTCCTGTACCTCCCGTGGGGTGACTCGCGGTCCCCACCCCGCCCCGGACGCCGGCCCCGCGGAGGAATGCGCTGCGGCCGGCCCTGCCCGCGGTGACTCACGGCCGGGGAGCCCCGGGAAGCGCAGTGGGACGGGGTCGGCCCAGGGCGGGGAGTCGGCGGGGCCGGAACACCCACCGTCCAGGCGCCCCAGCAGCTAGTCCTGGCGCTCCAGGGCTCGCGGCCGATCCCACGCCTTGAGGACCCTTCCCGGGGAGACCCTCCGATGGCCCTGCCCAGTCGGCCTGCTCTCCCACCTTCACCCCCGCGGGCCGCCCGTGGCAGGACCTTCCGTTTTCCCCCCCGCACCGCCCCCCCCCCGGGTCCAGGCCGACCCCTAGAGCAGGTGCTGCGAGACTGCTTTCTCTTCTGTGAAATGGGGACAGTAACACTTTTGTTAGATTAGGGAACATATGGAAAGTGCTAGAACAGCACCCCTTGGAGCTCAATAAATGTGAGGGAGCCTCCTCCCTTCCTGGGGACCTGTCCTTCCTGCGCCCTCCTGGCGGCTGGCAGGGGGCGACCCCCACCGCCTGCACAGGCCCGTGGGGAAGGCCCTGTGGGTGCGGAAAGCTCCGTGCTGGGGCTGGAGGGTCAGCCTGGAGAGGGCGGAGGGGGCAGCTGAGTCATGCCTTCCAGCCGGGCGGACGGGCTTTTTACTTACTCTCTTCCTTTAAAGGGTTTATAGGAGCAGGAGTGATGGCTGGCTCCTCCCGGGTTCCCAGGGGTGGGGGCGGGGGTGGAGTCGCAGAAGGGGTCTCTGGCGGCCAGGGCCTCTCCAGGACACCCACTTTCCAACACCCCCACCTAGCTGTGACCCTGGGAAAGGACTGCAAACAACAGGAAGGGCCTGAGTCCCCTGGCGGGCGGGGACAAGCTTGCAGGGCAGGTGCAAAGGGAAATGCAGGTCCCTGGTTCAAAAAGTTTTCCTGTGCGTGAGGGCAGAGCCCAGGACCAAGCACAGGACCAAGTCAGTGCAGGTCCGTGAAGCCCGCCCTGGAGCTGAACACCCTGCCCCAGCCACGCCCCCTGCGCCGCCTTGGGAAGTCCCTAACCTCTCAGGCCTGCCCAGAGCCCCAGCCCTTCAGGGTCACCAGCTCGGACAAGGGGCTTGGGCTAGGACCCCAAGGAGAGGAGCCCTGCCTGCCCTCAGGAAGGGGGCACTGAGGGCCATGGGGCCAAGGGACAGCTTGAAGGATTCCAAGGGGAGGGAGTGGTGCCTGCGGAGCTGCCCAGCGAGGCCCATCCCTGAGGGGTGCTCTTCTCAGCCCCATTTCGCAGGTGGAGAAGCGAGGCCTTAGGGAAGAGGGGACCTGCTGGAAGGGACGGGGGAAGCAGAGATAGGCTTGAGGTGCTAGAGGAACAGACTGCGTGGGAGGAAGAGGATGTAGGGGGGGCTCCAAAACTAGCGGAGGCCCAGTGAGGTGATGTGAGGCCGCCTCTCCTTGCCTCCCACTGGCCAGGCCTCTCTGGGCAGCGTTGGCAGGTCAGTGACCAGGGGGGTGCTCTGACAAGTGGGTGTCAGAGGGAGCTGGGAGGACAGGTCATAAGGGGTGGAGAGCCCTGGCCCCCTCCCTGGGAGGGAGACCCCGGGGCAGGGCAGCCTGAGTGGGAATCCCAGAGGGTTGGGGGTCAGGAGCTGGGCCCACCCAGGCAGCTTCCCTGCCCTGCGGCCTGAGACCCCCCCATCCAGCAGAGGCCCCGGGGGACCTGCCGGCCCACTCCTGCTCAGTGGCATGAGCCTGGACCAAGGAGAGGGCCCGGCGCCCGCCCCCGAGTAGGCCCATCTGGGGGACCCTCTGGGGCAGGGAGTTGGGAGGGATGATGAGGAAGCAGACACTGACCTTGCAACCCCAAGGGAGGACCTTTCGGGGGAACCCCCTCCCTGAGCCATTTGATAGCCAGGAGCCCAGAGGACCCACCAGGCAGACGGCTTCCCGCCAGGCAGTGGGGACCGCGGTGTGCATTCGGCCTGCACCCCGTGGGGAGTTGCGGCCCACCAGGGTTCTTGGCCAGGGGGTGCTGGACGGCCAGCTGCTGGCTGGAGAGACAGGGGCCCCACACCTGCAGGTGCTGGGCCTCGTTCACCCTCTTTGCCCCTGTTGGTTCCCCAGCAAGGTGGGGGCTGCTCGGTCGCTTTCTTGGATTTACAGGGAACGGAGCGGGGCTCTCAGAGAAGTTAGGGACTCAGCTGAGGTCCCACTGCCAGCCGGTGGGATTCGAAGCCACTCTACTGCACCCCAAGGCCTGGGGGCAGTTAGGAGCCCCACCCAAATGAACAGGGAGGGGCCGTGCCGGGCTTTGCCTCACATGGGTGGCGTCAGGCACTGTAGGTCGGAGCCAAGTTTACTAATATTTATCCAAGGGTCGCATCCGGGATCCACGCACAGCTTGCCTGGGGGGACCCCCCCCGCTCCTGTCACCAGGCACAGACTGGTCCCCAAACATCCGGCCAGGGACACTCGCTGTCCCATCCAGCTGGGTGAGGACGTCGGATGGCCCAGACAGAAGGAGGGCACCTCTCCGAAATGCCCCTCGTGAGGTCATCCGTGCAGCAGTGGGAGGCCGGGCCCCGGAGGCTCTTGCCCAACCAGCCTGGGAATGGCAGCCTGTGAGGAAGCCGTGCGTCAGGGCGGGCCAGGTGCCCCGGGCTCGATACCACCCTCTTCCTGTGGGAGGTGGTGCTCAGGAACAGCCCTGGGGTGGGGCTCCCTGCTTCCCCTGCCTGGGAGACCCTCTCCCCTGGCCTCCTCCAGGAAGTCTCCTCGGATTGTCGGCGCACGCCTTGAGGCCTGCTCCCACCAACTGCGTAACTGCTGGACCTCGGGGTCCCGGAGGTGGCTCAGGTGTTAACCTCAGGAGGGCGGGAGAGGTCCGCGCACCTGGGAGGCGGCCTGATGCCACCTGACCTGAGTATGACACAGCCCATTGGCTGCCGCCTGTGAGTCAGGCCTGCCCTTGCTCTCTCTCCTCCCAGTGGGAGCCTGGGAAAAGTGAGAGGCCCAAGGGCAGGAGGCTGGTGTCGTCCAGGCTTTCACTGTCAGGCTGGCTTGGGGCCCCGCAGAGCTGGGTCTCTGTCCCTCTCTCTGGTTCTCTGAGCCCCTCGGCTGGAGTCGGACAGGTAGGGCCTGCCTCACAAGACACTGAGGATCCAGTGAGAAACACGGACACTACCCAGAACACCTTTCTCCTCCTGGGCCCCGGGCAAGCTCCTATTCATCCCTCAGTACCTTGCTTAGAGGTCACTAGCAGCTCCTGGAATGCAGTGAGTGTCTCCGTCTTTGCGGCCCCCAGGGCCCTGCCCAGGTGCTCAGGAAAGGTTTTGGGAAATGTGGGCCTAAAAAGCATCAACCTCACCATCCAAAAGACGTGACTCTGCTCAGAGCAACTGAAGTTCCTGGAGGCTCTGCTTGCTCGTCAGTAAAACCAGAAAATCAGGGAGGGGCCTGGGGTGGGGGGCCAGGGCCAGGTGGGGAGAGGGGAGGGGGAAACTGCCCAGGGCCTGGTTCATGGGGACACAGGACCTCTCTGGAAACTTGAAAGAAGGAATGCCTGAAATACAGGGAAGGAGGGAGGGGGAGGGCAGAGGTGGACAAGCTGTGGCCTCCGCCCTCCGGATGGTGGTCAGCCCTGCGGCCCCCTGGGCTGCGTCGTCACAGGACAGATGGAACACCTGCTCCTGCCCATCCCGTCCCCCAAAGGTGGACTGTTTACTATTATTTATCCAAGGGTCCCAATTGGGATTCATGCGGAGCCTGCCTGAGGGAACACCTGCTCCTGCCCCCAGGCAGACAGACTGGTCCCCAGATGGGAAGCAACCTGTGTCCAGTGACAAATGAATGGATATACAAGACATGATCCATCCACACACCTGACCGTCACTCAGCCTGAACACGGAGGGACACGCTGACACCTGCCACGGTGTGGATGGACCTGGGGGACGTGATGCTGAGTGAGATCGGCCAGACACAGAGGGACAAATACTGCAGGATTCCCCCCACATGAGGTCCTTAGTCTCCAGATTCACAGGGAACAGAGTGGACGGTGGGCTCTGGGGCCGGGGGAGGGATGGGGGTCGGCGACTCAGGGGCACAGAGAGTGGACGGTGGGCGCAGGGGGAGGGATGGGGGTCGGTGACTCGGGGACAGAGTGGACGGTGGGCACCGGGGGGAGGGGTGGGGGTCGGTGTCTCACTGGGAGTTTGTTTGGGAGGATGAAAAAGATCTGGATGCAGGCGGCGGGCACGGCTGCACAATGGTGTGAATGTGCGTAGTGCCCCCGAGCTGTGGGCTTCGAGATGGTGAAGGTGGTACACTGATGTGTCTTTTGCCACAATTTAAGAAATGTATTTACACGTGAACGCGCACGCGTCCAGTAGGAGCTGGTGTGTTTCCGAGAAGTGAGACATGGCACATGTAGTGTTCTGTTCCACCTGCGTCCTGGGCAGTCCCCCCCGATCTCCCCACCCTCGTGGTGCTCAGGCTGTGCCGTGTTTTGTGATTCTCAGAAGCGGTAAGTGATGCTGCTCGAACGTTTCCGGACTCCGTGCTCCCGTGCACAAGGTCACGGGGACAGACTTTGAGACATGGAGTTGCCGTGTGGAACGTGACCGCTGACCAGACCGCCCGCTGGCCAGCTCGCACTCCCACCTGAACGTGCCAGGTGCCCTACGTTCATGCAACTTTCCTCCAATCCGGTGGCCAAAACCTGGGGTGTTGTCTCCGTGGAACCTGTGACTGCAACTTCATGTGGTAAAAGTATTACCTAATGTGACAAAAGATGCCATTAAGGACCCTGAGAGGTCATCCCGGGTTATCCCCGGG